CGCGCGCGCGCGCGCGCGCGCTCGCGAGTGTTTCCAACTTCCTTCTGCTACCAGTCGCTGCCTCCCCCAAATTTCTCCCTCCCCCCATTTCTGTTTCCCAGTCTCTGAGTATCTCTCCGTTTCTCCTTGTCTCCCTCCCTCTCTGGGTCTCTCTCTTTTTCTCCAGCTTCCTCCTGCCACCCAGACCCTGCGCCCCCCCATTCTCTCCCTTCCCCCCTTCCATCTCCTCTCCTTGGCTCCCCCATCCCTCAGCGGCTCCCCTCCCCCTCCTTCCCTCCTCTCTCTCTCTCTCTCTCTCTCTCTCTCTCTCTCTCTCTCTCTCTCTCTCTCGTCCTCCAGCTCCGCACTTTACCCAGCGACACGAGAACCAAATTGTCTCCTCACCTTTTTTTTTTTCCCCATCCTGACCCCCAATCCCTTGTGACCTGAGCTCAGAGCTGCCCCCCAGCTCCCCCTCCCACCTGGACACCCCCATTCCTCGTACGCCTCCTCATCTCTTCCCCCCAACCAGGTCGGACGCCTGGGTCCCTTGCTGCTGCGGGAGGGAGTGCAGCGAGAATATTGGGGGCCAAAAGGGTGTTTCTGGGAGGGTGCCGACAGTGGGGGCTCACCCTCCGCTCCCCAGTGCTTCGGAGATTTGACCTATCGTTAACAGAGGTGAGACAGACCTTTTTCTTCATCGGAGGTGGGTGGATGTAGGAGTAAGGTTCTGTGACCCCCCGATTCTGGAGAACGAGGCTGCTTTTGAGCTTCTCTAGGTCCCCTTCAGAGGGAGAGGGGATGGTGACCCCCCTCACATCCGGAAGCTTTAGAATTGGGAGTCCCCTGCTCCTTCTTGCTCTGCTGCTGTGGACAGACAGACTTGAAGAGTCCCCCCAAGATAAATAGATGCCCCCCCAAATCAACAAGCTGCAAAGATCTTCAAATCGAAAGATAGAGAATTCCCTCTCATTTAATTCCTCCTTCCCCTCTCATCCCAGGTTGTAGAGGGCCCAGAAGGGGCAGGGGGTGCATTCTGGGGTCACAGGCTCATGCCAATGGGAGCAGAAATTTGCTAGGACAGTGGAGGTGAGGGTGCTGGTGGTGAGGGGGTACACTAGAGGAAGAAGAGGCCAGGAGATCTGGAGGGAGGAAACTCAGCGTCTGGAGAGGAAAGAAGTGACGGGGCTGGAAAGAGGGGGAGGGAGGCTGGGGGCTTGTGAAGGTCCCGAGTGTTGACGAATGATGGCCCGTGGTTAGGGGCACAGCATGTGTGGTGGGGACAGAAGACAGTGTGTGGGGCAATTAGGCCCTGTTGCCATGGAGACCCCCCTCCTCAGACAACCATTTTCAGCAGCCCCTCCTGGGAGCTGACCCAGGCAGGGCCAGCTGATGGGGGGCGGAGGAGGTAGGGATGAAACTGAGGAGGCCAAGGTCACCCTGTGTTGGGACCCAGGGTTTTTTCCTTCCTCCTCTTCGAAGGTTTCCCGACTCTTAACTTAAGGGGGTTTTAGAGGAAGAAGTCTAAGAAGAAAAAGTGGTGTCAGCAGGTATGGGACAGGTGCAGAGAAGGAGGGCTGGGGTCAATTGAAAAAGACAGCGTTGGGGGCGTGGTAGTGGGCATGCCATGGAAGAGGGAAATGAATAGAGAATTGAGGGGGCAGAGTGGGAAATTATTTCTAATTGGAAGAGAGTTGCAGTTTTGTGGATGACATTTTTCTGAGAGGCACAGTCTGTGGGGGTTCCTTTTACATTTTGAAAATGTTAGGGGCTACAGTGTCTATTCCGGCACAGATGAAATAGTGGGTGGGGGGGGTTGGGAGAAGTGGGGGTGTTTCCAAGGAAGGAAGTCCATGGGGGCAATGAAGGGGGTTTTCCTGAGGAGAGGAGATGCTGAGAGTTAAGAGTGGGTGGAGGAAGTGGCAAGAGTAAAGGGATTCTTTCTGATGTAAGAGGAGGGAGGGTTGGTTCTCCTGAGTTGGAAAGAGTGGGGTTGGAGTGTGTGATTCCTGAGCACCACAGAGGTAAGTTGGGGGGATGTAGAGTTGGAGGGGGCTGCTGTGTGGTGAGGGGGATTTTGAGGCAGTAGGAACTGGTGGAAGGGCAGAGAAGTGGGGGATGGGAGCCTGCCGGCTATTTTCTTGGACAGAAGTGGGAGTTCAGATCAGAGATGGGGAGATTTCTGAGGGGAGAGGAATTTGGGGTCTGTGGGAAAGGGTTCTTAGGAATAGGAGATGCCATGCAGTTCATGAAGAACATTTTTCTTAATAGAGAAGAAAGTGATGGTTATGTTGAGTTTGTCCAAGTTGTAGAGATAGTGAGGGTCAGATTCAGAAGACTTTTTGAAGCAAAGGGAAGAGTAAGAGGATTTTCCTTCGGTAGAAGATATAGTAGAGGACTGGAAGAGAGATGATAAGAGAGGAGACAGTGGGAGTGCTTGGAGAGAATGTGGTGGAAATACAGGCGTTCTCCTAAATCAGTGGGTCTAACGTTGGCTGCACATTAGAATCCCCTGGGAGCTTTTAAAACCCTGGATGTTCAGGCCTCACCCCAGACCAATTAAATCAGAATTTCTCAGGTGGCATGCAGGCATCAGTATTGCTCATTCACTCCGTTCAAATGATAAAGCAGTTCAGTGGCATCACTAGGGGGCTGCCAGGAGATGCAGACTGCACCGAGTGACACTGTCAGAGGGGGTGACACCAAAATGACCGTCTAAAATTTTGGTGCAGTGTTTCAGCAGAAATCTATTATTTTTTATAAAAAAATCCCTGTAGTTAGTTACAACAACAAAAACATTTTTCGTAAATCCAGCGTACATGTATCAATACACCCGCAAGACTAAAACTCTATGCTAATTTACTTTTTGAACCTTATAATGCCCTCTGGTCAGAGCTGTTATTATTACCCAATTACAAGGACAATTTGAATCACGTGGTTTCATCTGCAAACACTGCAAGCACTATGGTTTTCGTTGTTGCCGGTGTTTTCATAGTCACCGATTTTGTCAAATTTTCTAGTGTTTTAGCTACAATATTGTGGTAATTAGCATGGGGGACTAACACCATGAGTTACTGCACTGGGTGACACCAACCCTAATGATGACACTGAACCAGTTGCTGTGAAGTTGGTTCTGACTCAGAGACTATAGAACTGTGCTCCATAGGGTTTTCAGTGGCTGATTTTTTGGAAGGAGCTCGCCCGGCCTTTCTTCTGAGGCACCTCTGGGTGGACTTAATTTTCCAACCTTTTGGTTAGCAGCCGAGCACGTTAACCATTTGCATCAACCAGGCTGTGGGCATCAGTATTTTTAAAGGTCCCCAGTAATTCCAAGATTCGGTCCTGAGGCATAGAGATAGAGTGGGCAACAAGGTTCCCAAGCTGGGGAGACGGTGGGGGTGTTGTTGTTGCGTGCCATTGAGTCTATACCAACCCATAGCGACCCCAAGTGACAGAGCAGAACTGTACCATAAGGTTTCCTAGACTGTAATCTTTTTTTTTTTTTTTTTGAACATTTTATTGTTGTTTAGGTGAAAGGTTTACCAAGTTAGTTTCCCATTCAACAATTTATACGCAGCTTGTTTTGCGACATTGGTTGCAAACCCCTGGATGTGTCAGCACTCTCCCCTCTTCCTTCCTGGGTTCTCCGTGTCCATTTGTCCAGCTTTCCTGCCCCTACCTTTCTTCTGAACGTTGCTTTTGGGCAAATGCTGCCCTTCAGATCTCATGTAGTTGATTGTTCCGAAGTGTTCATTCCTCACTGGTGTTATTGTTCATTTTATAGGTCTGTCCATTGTAAGGATATAAGGTGATCTCCTTCATGGTGGTGTTAGTATTGTGGTTATTCTGAGTTGTGCGAAGAGTGAGGGTTGGTTGGGAAAATGTTCTTTTTTTTTTTTTTTTAAGTTGAGAGATTGAGAGATTTTCAGTTCCAAGTCTGAAGGGTGTCTAAGGGTCATAGTGTTAGGGTTCCACCATTTCTATCAGAGCGGTAAGTCTGGTCTTATAAGTTTGAATTTTCTTCTACATTTCTATCCCACTCTGTCCATGACCTACTATTGTGGTCCCAGTCAGAGCTGTTGATAGTCGGGCACCATCTAATCCTTCTGGTCTCAGGCTAGTGGAGACGGTGGTTCATGTGGTCCATTAATCCTTCGGACTAATTGTTTCCTTCAGTCTAGCTTTCTTCCCTTTTCTTTGCTCCGAGTAGGAAGAGAATCTTAGATGGCCACTTGCAAGCTTTAAGACCCCAGTCACTGCTCACCAAGGTAGGATGTAGAACATTGTCTGTATGGATTATGATATGCCAATTGACCTAGATGGCCCCCAAGACTATGGTCCCTAACCCTCAAGCCCAGTAACTCAGTCCTAAGAGGTGTACGTTTATAGCTAAGAAGTTTTCATGACTGTGTTCTCTCTGCCCACTGTTGTATACATGGGTATATTTGCAACACGTACACACATATATGTATGTGGGTGTACTTCCATATGCCCTCCCATCCCTGTTCAAACTGTAATCTTTATGGAAGCAGATCACCAGGTCTTTCTTCCGAGGAGCCACTGGGTGGGTTCGAACCACCAAGCTTTTGGTTAGCAGCTGAATGCCTAACCTTTGTGCTTGCCAGCAGGCTTCTTCATGGTGGTGCTAGTATTGTGGCTATTCTGAGTTGTGCAAAGAATGAGGGTTAGTTGGGAAGATGTTCTTTTTATATTTTTTTCAGTTGAGGAGTGATTAAGGTTTTTTTATCCCCCTAAGTAGAGGACATAGTAGAGAAAGCATAGAGGAAATTGCAGGAGAAAGATGGGAGCACGCCCCCAACCCTGTCTTTTTCAATTGAGCCCAGCCCTTCTCTGCACCTGTCCCATACCTGCTGACATGGCTTTTTCTTAGACTTCTTTCCCACAAACCCTCTAGAGTTAAGAGTCCTGAAAGCTTCGAGGAGAAGGAGGAAGGAAAATACCTTGGCTCCCAGCACTGGATGACCTTGGCCTCGTCAGACGGTTACCCCACAGATAGCGGGATGGGGATTCATGGAGGTTATTTCCCCAATGGAGACATAGTGGAAGTGGTGGTGTTGGGGGGGGGGTTCCTAAATTGTGCAGATACTTGAGGCAGAGTTGGGGAGAGAGAGACAGATTTTCCTTGAGTAGAAGATACAGCAAGTGAAGAGATAGGACTTACCGTGGAAGATTGTGGGAGAATGGTGATGGGGGAGTCGCCTACTGGGGGTCCTTATGAGGAGGCAGTAGGCGACTAGAGTGAGAATGGCTTCCCAGATAGGGAGACAGTGGAGTCCAGGGGAGAGGAGCTAGAAGGGGCTACGAGAGTGCCTGTGAGCACAAGGAGTATTGGGGAGACTTCTAGTGAGATTAGTGGGGAGACTTTTCTGGGCAGAGGAGAGTAGTTGGGGGAGATTTTTCTAGAGAAAGGGGAGCACTGGAACCAGAGATGGAGCGGTTTGTTTAACAAAGGAAATAATTTTGGGCGGGGGGATGGGATTGCGGGAGGTAGGTCTGCCTTCTTGCCTAACCCCTTTATCTCACTCCCTGACCCCCACCAGCCGGAGACCATGGCCGCTCTCTGACCCCCTTTCCAGCCTCAGCGGTTGCCTCATCCTCACCGCCCCTTCCCCAGCCCCATCGGCCCCAGGCCCCCGACTTCTGCCTGCGCTGTGAACCCCCCCAGCCGCCGGCACGGCCCCGCCCCCGCTGCCCCGGTGGTGGCCCACGGCCCCCCGGCTGCCCGTGGTCAAACTGGAGTCGCTGAAGCGCTGGAACGAAGAGCGGGGTCTCTGGTGCGAGAAGGGGGTGCAGGTTCTGCTGACAACGGTGGGCGCCTTTGCCGCCTTTGGCCTCATGACCATCGCTATCAGCACCGACTACTGGCTCTACACGCGCGCCTTCATCTGCAACACCACCAACCTCACAGCCAGCGACGATGGGCCGCCCCACCGTGGGGCCGGGGGTGCCTCCGAGAAGAAGGACCCCGGCGGCCTCACCCACTCGGGCCTCTGGAGGATCTGCTGCCTGGAAGGTAGGGTGGGTTGCGGGCGGCCTCTGCCTCCCCTCCCGCCATTGAGCGCCTTTCCATTCCTCCTTACTTGTCTCCCTGTTTCCTGGGTCTTCCTTTTGCCTCCCTTCTCCTGGGACATAGGGCCTCATGAGCCTTAGCATTCAAACTCCAGACTCTTCTCCCTTTCTCCCCCCTCCTCTGTGCATCCTGGCTCTCTTCCTGCGTCCTCTGCCTCAGAGCCTCCCATTCAGACTCGCTCCCTGCCTAGTCTCCTCACCCATACCTTCTCTTCCCTTCATACATTCCCCTTTCCCCCTCTCATTCACTCCCTTAATTTCCTCCTGGCCTGGCCTTGCTGCACTTGGGGCTCCCTCTGCCTCAGTGTAAGTAACGCTGGTAGCGCAGTGGTTAAGTGGCTAACAGAAAGGTCAGCGGTTCGAACCCACCAGCCGCTCTGCGCTAGAAAGATGGGGCAGTCCGCTCCCGGAAAGATTATGGCTTTGGAAACCCTATAGGGCAGTTCTACTCTGTCCTGTAGGGTTGCTGTGAGTCGGAATCACTGGAAGGCAACAGGTTCTGCCTTAGTGCACCCCACTCATACCCCCTGCTTTTCCTCTTTCTCTTGGACGATTTGTCTTTTATTATCATTATTATTGTGGTACATATTAGGTGACAAAACACTTGCTATTTCTATAGTCTTCACATGTACAGTTCAGGGACATTAATTACATTCATCATGTTGTTCAACCCTCACTGTTCCCAAATGTTTCCATTACCCTTCACAGAAGCCCAGTGTCTCCTAAACATTGTGCCTTCCTTTTTGGACCATTTATCTTGACCCTGTGGAATCCCTGGGTGGTGCAAATGGTTAAACACTCTGCTACTAGCCCAAAGGTTGGCAGTTCAAACCCACCCAGAGGTGCCTCGGAAGAAAGGCCTGGTGATCTTTTTCCATAAGATTGTTGTTGTGTGCCATCAAGTTGATTCCAACTCATAGCAACCCTATACAACAGAGTAGAACTGTGCCATAGGGTTTCCTAGGCTGTAATCTTTACAAGGCAGATTGCCAGATGTTTCCTCCTGTGGAACTGCTGGGTGCGTTCAAACCACCAACCTTTCAGTTAGCCGCCAAGCATTTTAACCATTGCACTACCAGGACTCCTTTACATAGTATTACAGCCATTGAAAACCCTCTGGAGCACAGTTCTACTCTGCACACATGGGGTTGCCATGAGTCGGAATCAACTTGATGGCAACTAACAGCAACATCTTTTGTTGTTGTTTTTGTTTTTTAAGTGAATGTTTACAATTCAAGTCAGTCTCTCATACAAAAATTTATACATACATTTTTATGTGACCCTAGTTGCCTTCACTATACTGTGACAGCACACTCCTCCTTTCCACCCCGGATTTCCTGTATCCATTCAACCAGCTCCTGACCCTCTCTGCCTTCTCATCTCACCTCTGGACAGGAGCTGCCCATTTAGTCTCATGTATCTACTTGAGCTAATAAGCACACTCTTCACGAGTATCATTTTATGTCCCATAATCCAGTCTAATCTTTGTCTAAAGAGTTGGCTTCAGGAATGGTTTTAGTGTTGGGCTAACAGAAAGTAGAGGGGCCATGTCTTCCAGGGTCCCTCCAGTCTCACTCAAACCATTAAGTCTGGTCTTTTTACTAGAATTTGAGTTCTGCACCCCACTTTTCTCCTGCTCCATCAGGGACTGTCTGTTGTGTTCCCTGTCAGGAAGATCATAACAGTGATATCTTGACCCTATCCCTCTGAATCCTCCCACCACCCTCTTCTTCGTCCCTTGCTTCTTCTCTCTTCAGACATTCAGTTCTTCAGACATACTCCAGTTCTCTAAATTCCTCTGCCTTTATTGCCCCTATTCATGGTCCCTTCTTCATTCCCTCCTTCCCTTTCACCTCCTCGCTGGCTCTGTTGCTCCCATGAAACTCCTTGCCTTATCTCGACACCCTTCATGACTCGCTCCTGTTTTCTCTCTTGTTGTTCTTCCGCCCTTAAGTCTCCCTGTCTTGCCTCTCTCCCCATTAGGGTCTCTGTCTCCCATCCTGGTCCTTTTCTTTTACAACCCCCTGACCTATCACTCCTCCATTCAAGCACTTTTCTACTGTCTCCTTTGGTGCCTCTTTCTTTCCTTCCTTCCTTTATTTTTGGTGAAAATATACACAGCAGAACATATACCAACTCAACAATTTCTACATGTACAATTCAGTAACATTGATTACATTCTTCAAGTTGCTTTTGTCAATTTGATCCCATAGAGATAGATCTTTAAAAGAACATGATGCTCAGGTGATGCTTCAATTCTTTCTTTCTTTTTTTAATAATTAATTTTATTTTGTTGTTGTTGTTAAGACTATACACAGAAAAACATACACGAATTCAACAGTTTATACATGTACAATTCAGTGACATTGATTACATTCTTCAAGTTGTGCAACCATTCTCACCCTCCTTTTCCAAGTTGTTCCTCCCCCATTAACATAAACTCACTGCCCCCTAAGTTTCCTATCTAATCTTTCAAGAGTTACTGTTGTCAATTTCATCCCATATGGATACATCTTGAAAGAGCACAATGTTCAAGGCAGAGGTTCTTTACTAGTTAAACTTAACTATTGTGTGGTTTTAAGAAGACTTCAGGGGATATTTTTTGGTTTAAGGTTTAAAGATTATCTCAGGGCAATAGTTTCAGGGGTTCTTCCAGGTTCCAGGGCTCCAGAAAAGTCTGGAGTCCATGAGAATTTGAAATTCTGGTCTGCATATTCTCCCTTTTGATCAGGATTCTTCTACAGAATCTTTGATCAAGATGTTCAGTAATGTAGGTGGGCACCATCCAGTTTTTCTGGTCTCATATAAAGGGCACAGTTGTTCATGGAGGCGATTAGATGCCTCATTTCTTGACTCAAAGATTCTCCTCTCTCCTGACTTACTTGCTCTTCTCATCTTTATTTTTGTTTTTTCTCTCTTTCTCTCTCATCCTGTCTCCAGCTAGGTCCTTCTGCTTCTGGTCTCCTTCACTCCAACCCTCTTCCTCCCCTGCTCCTTCTCACCTGCACTCCCAGCTTTGCTATTTCTTGCACCTGTACAATGCAGGCCCCGGGATGGGAAGCAGGAAGCATGGGTTCCAGTCCTACTGTGTGTCTGACTTATTGTGTGACGCTGTCTTTTCACCTCCCTGAGCCTTACAGCCCTTATCTGCAACATGAGGGAGTGGCACTAGCCAACAGCAAAGCTCCCCTTCTGGCACCAAAAACCAAACCTGTTGCCGTGGAGTGAATTCCGAATTATAGCGACCCTATAGGACAGAGTAGAACTGCCCCATAAGGTCTCCAAGGCTGTAATCTTTATGGAAGCAGACCGCCACATCTGTCTTCTGCAGAGCAGCTAGTGGGTCTGAACGACCGACCTTTCGGTTAGCCGAGCGCTTAGCCACTGCACGACCAGGGCGCCTTCCTTTGGCACCAATAGATTGAAATTCGCTCACATCTCCTTTCAAAAGAAAGAAAAATTATTGCTGTCGAGTCCATTCTGACTCATGACGACCAACTGCTTCATAGAGTTTTCAAGGCTGGGACCTTTTACGGCAGATTGCTGCCTTTCTTCCGAGGCGCCTCTGGGTGGGTTGGAACTGCTTAGTTGAGCCCAAACTTCTTGCGCCACCCAGGGACCTTTACCTGGGTTCAATTCCTGGCCAATGCACCTCAAGCGCAGCCACCACCCATCTGTCATTGGAGGCTGGTGTGTTGCTGTGATGCCGAACAGGCTTCAGTGAGTTTCCAGACTAAGACAAAGAAGAAAGGCCTGGTGATCTACTTCTGGAAATTAGCCAGTGAAAACCCTACAGATCACTATGGTCTGATTCTGTTGCGCTTGGGTCCCATGGGTCAGGGGCTGACTCAATGGCAGCTAGTAACAACAAACAACACAACAAGCCAGGAAGGTTATTATTTAATTCTATGAGGTGGGTGCCTTCTGTCAGGATGAAGGAAACTGAGGCTCAGAGAGGCTAACCCACTTGCTCAAGTTTGCCCAGCTAGGAAAGGGGGCAGAGCCAAGAGAACTCAGTTCTGCTCATCACAGAGGTCACAAACTGATGGATAAGGTTCACAGATGTGCCTTGTTTGTCGTGTAGAGTGCTTGAAACTCAGACCCAAACCTGAATCAGTTGGCAACATTTGAAAGTAGAGAGACTTCACATTGAAAATCCACTTTCTGGCTTCTTTTGAAAAAGCCGAAGAGCTGACACCATGGGGTCTGCATTCTGTAGTAGCCACAATTGGCCAGGTCTGAGTAGCAGCTTTTTCTTCAGATCTGGGGTGGGTGTCTTCATTTCACCAGAGTCTCCACTGCTCCCTATCACCTCACATCCCTTCCACTTCTCTCCTTATGTTGCCTGTTTGCTCCTGTGGGCATGTGAGTTCATGTCCATTCATTAGTCTGATCAAGCACCAGGCACAGGTCCAAGTGTGCGGCTTGCATCTTGAAACCCCTAGGACAGTGTACGGCATGTTGTAAGAATGCCATTCATTCAACAACCATTATTATTGCATTTCTACTATGTGCCAGGCACTGTTCTCAATTTAGGGGATAAAAATAACTAATAACCCATTGCTGTCGACTTGATTCTGACTCATGGTGACCCCACGTGTTACAGAGTAGAACTGCTTCATAGGGCTTTCTTGGCTGTAGCCTTTATAGCTGAAAGGTTGATGGTTCGAACCTACCCAGAGGTGCTTCAGAAGATAGGCCTGGCAATCTGCTTCCAAAAGGTCACAACCTTGAAAACCCAATGGAGTGCAGTTCTACTCTGCACACGTGAGGTTGCCATCGAGTCAATTCTGACTCGATGGCAACTAACAACAACAATAACGATCCTTAAGAAGCAGATAGCCAGGCTTTTCTTCTGCAGCACTGCTGGGTAGGTTCAAACTGCCAACCTTTAGGTTAGTAGTTGCGTGCTAACCACTTGTACCACCCAGGGAGCTTATACTG